TGTATTCGTTACCCTTCGTAACGGAGGGCACCGTTCCGACGGCAGCGAGACCCCAGAACAATGCCAGGGCCCACCCCTGGCTGGCCGGCGGAATGAGAGAAAAATAAATAAGGCTTTATTTGTTTTCTCTCGAAGGCCTGCGTGGCTCTCTGGTGAATTCTCCTGGAAGCGGAAAAGCCGCGAGCGGCATCCCGGAGCCTCGTACGGCACAAAAGGAACAACACAAAAGTGTCAGCAGAGTTCTTTTTTTTTAAATAATGTATCTCAGCTGCCCCGACGTAGGAAGCAGGCGATGGGTTTGCTCGCTGACGGCGAATGAAAGCAAAAGAGTCAGACGAGGACGAGGGGGTTTTCTGAATGAAACATCCTGAATGTGGGAGCAGCAAAAAAAAAAAACTGCTGACACACTAGAAACCGAACCGTAATGGCCACAAACGCGACAGCTCAGGGGTGGGATTCCCTCCCAAGGGGAGCGCGGGTGTGACGAAGATGGCGGCGCGGCACCCCCCCCCCCCAACACGAGAGTCGCCGTACAGGTGGGAAAAGCGTTCGCCTCGGGCCGCTTGGCTGTCCTCGCCTAGCAACGCCGGCCGCCAACGGCAACAGCGCGGAGAGAGACTTGGGCCGTCAAACATGACGGCGGCCATGTTTTCAAAACCACACAGGCATCAGGTTCACATCAGAATGTTCCGTCCCATCCTCTGCGAAGCAAACAGCTTATTTTGGAAGAGCCACAGGTTTAGAAAAAAAAATAGAAAATAAATAAAAGAAGCATGAGCTCAGACTGGCGCATTCCAAGTATTGCACAAGTCAATAAATACCGCCCCCCCTGTCCTGTTTTTAGTTTTAGAAATCTAACCCCCTTTTTGGGCCCTGGGCTCGGAGAAATGAGGTAACATAAGCCCCCGGAAAGGTCACTCAAACGCATCACCAACACAAGGGACTTCCTGTGAATTTACGCATAAACCTGCATGTCTGCTTGTGGTGGTTCCCCAGAGACGGACGAAACAGATCGGAGGAGGGTGGGGGGGGGCAGAAATACGGCATTGAGTCAACCGGGGCACGTGGGGCTTTAATAAGAGGCCCGTCTGACAAAAAAACAGTCGAATGTGAACGCTGAATGGAGCGGCGGGCTTCGGGGCGTATTTTGATCATGTGAAGTAACGGATATGCATGAACTCCCCAAACAATGGGCTACTGTACGCATGGGAGCAAATCCCCCCCCCCAAAAAAGAGGACTGCCGGTGGCACTGTGACTTCTGTACAGCTCCAGCCCCCCCACCCACACACTGACTTTGAAGATTTCCAGCGGCCCGGGTGGATATAGGGCAGCTTTGGAGGCTGCTAGATAACGAAGTGACCCGCGGATCAGCTTGTGTCATCTCCGTCGCTAACCTATCCCTCGCCGCTGGAGCGAAGGTAGCGGCGGGTGGCGGTGGGCACGACGGGGAGGGGCGGCCTTTTAACTCCGGCCCGGAGCCCTTGCCACCGAAAAAAAGGTCAGCGCTTGGACATCTGCTGCTGCTTTCTCTGAACCTCTCCTTTCATAAATGGGATGCCGGGAAGAGGAGAGGACCCGGGGGGGGGAATGGATGCACGTGCACTCTTTTATGTCCAGGTACACTCTCCCTTCTTCACTTGAAGCTGCACGCTCGCCCACTCGTACAAAACAAAACAAAAAGGGGACGCAGGGTTCGGGTTTTAAAGAAAGGCTCGGCGGTGCCATTACACCAGCACAGAGACGCTCGGCTTTTGGCATGAAAGACATCGGTTTCTGCAGAGGGCTGGAGTGAGAGAGAGGGGGGGTGGCGGGGGGGGAATGGAATCCCGTCCCTCGGGGCCATGGTTGAGGCAGAGCGGTGTTGAAATAAGTGATTCATGCTTCTATCATCCCAGGTGAACAGTGCCGCTCTTTCAGCCGTCGCAGGGCGCCTCCGTGGTCGAGAGGAGGGGAAATTACAACGAGCAACACTGCTTTGTTGCAGTGTGTTTTGCTGATTTCTTATTGTGGTTTTAGTAACATGTGTGTGTGTGCTGCTGTAAACGTTCTTTTTTTAGACCTGCACACAAGACACAAGAGCAGCGGCCACCGAGAGCTGAAATGCATTTCTGCAGATTTATCTGCTTGTTCCCCTTTTTTGTTTTTGGATGAACCACAGTGGGCGCCTCCCTTGCTTGTACGAGGTTAGTTACACATTTGGGACAACAAGAAATATCAGCATCCACTCAGGTGAACTGCGGCCTCTCGCCCCTTAACGCCCAACGGCTGTAAACGAGGAAAAGCCGTAGTATCGATGAGCTCGGGACAAACAGCGGTTCTGCGAATTGGTTACGTTTCCCGGGTTAGAACTGGATTTTCGGGGTGCACGCCCCTATTATTAGGAAAAATATGCTGCTGTTCTCATGATCGTTTAATCGTTTAAGGGATATTTGAAGCACAAAAGCAAAACCTTTGACAGTAGCAGATTCTTACATTTTTGTGAAAGGAGTTTGGGACTGTCGACTGGAAAATAAATGGTACCCGGGAGAAGTTTGACCGCAGTGGTTTTCTGCCAGGATGTGTTTATTTTAACCAAAACCTGTTCCGAGTCTGGCCGAATGGATTCGTTGCCTGAACCGTAGGAGAGAAGAATGAGAAGAACTTAACTTGACACGTGCTGTAAAAGGACAAGAAATAAAACCTGGTATGTTTTGTGAAGGTTATGAGCTTTGGGCATTTATATTCAAAGCAGAGGTCGGGCTTTGACGTACAAAAGAAAACCCTATATCCTGGGTGAGCTTCTGTTTTATCGAAGGTACGTGACTTGTTAAGCAAAGGCAACTGTAACGCTGCCATCCAAATGCAGCGCAACCGACCCAAGTTCAAGCACGCGCCTCAGTTTCCGCTCTGTGCAGAAGCCAACCAACGCTTCACAAGCGCCTATTCGACACGTGAAATACGCAGTCGATTTCTGATTGTCCGACATGTGAATCGATGTAAACTAAATTGGTAATTGCGTGTAAGTGTGAAGGCCAGTGTGTCAGCACTCAGACACAAACACAACTTATATAATGTGATTTACAAGAAGCAACGTGTCAAAGCGAAAACACACAGTCACGACTTAAGCCACAGTAGTAACTTTAAATTAAAATAATGCTATCACAAGAGGGTTATGGAGCCCCTCCCTGTGTAAAGCCACAACTAATGAAACAGCCCATATGGGGGGCGTGGGGGGGGCTCTGTGATGTCCCCAACCGTTAATGTGAACACTGCATTGCCACCAGCCGGGAAAAAAAACAACAACCCGTATGGCACTTTAATTTTCTGTTGAACCTATCACCCCCCCCCCCCCCCCACACACACACACACACACACAGAGACAATCTTCCTCTCACCCACTGACCCCCACTCACAGTCAAACACACACGAATGTGCAGATATCATCTGGACAGGTGGCCAGTCACCCAGACCTGACCCCCCTGCCCTCTAGCTCGCTTTCCCCCCCTCTGCCCCCCCTCAAACGAAATCAGTTCAGGGCTGCTGGAAAGCCCCAAATGAACATGCACACCCCCCCCCCCCTCCCCATAACCCTTTCCAACATGCACAGCAAATGTCAGTCAGCCACAGAGCGGCCTGCAGGGATTATTGCCTAAAATAAAAATGAATAAAAGTAGGATTTGTGTGGAGTTAATGAGCAGGCAAATCATGTTAATCAGGGTTTACTCCACTACTGTTTATTTACGCTCGACAATACGGTCCCATCACTGATGAGGCAAAGGTTAACCAAACAGAAATCCACCATTTATTTTTTTTAATATTCACAAAAAGATATTATTTAGCATTAAAACCCTGACTGACACACTAGGAGCGATCATCCAACGTGCATTGTTAAATTTGGACATTTTAAACCGTATTGAAGACAAAAACAAAAAACAGATGCTTTGAAAGCAGCTAGTTATGGTGATATCCAGAGCTCAGCGGGGGGGGGGGGGGGGGGTCATTCAAGTTGTGTGGGGCACAAAAAACACGTAGCTGTCATTATAAGCGGACAGTATATAACCGGGCTAGGTGGAAGCTGTGGATCGGGGCTCTTTACGTTTACACCGTGTTAGTTTAACGTTTCGACCTGCTTAGACACATGCAGCAAAAAAAAGGCTGTTTAATGCTCAGTAAAGTAAATAGTATTTTCCAGCACCGCGTCCACTCCCACGGAGCACAAGTCGTTTAAAAAAGAAGAAAAAAAAAAAGTACACGCCGTTCACCGTGTGCGGTAGCTCGGGAGTTTAACGGAGGATTTGCGACGAGCGCGCCGTGCAAAGCGCAAAGATCATCTGACAAATTAAAAGAGTCAACATTACCAAAACCCTGCCAAAGGGGGGAGAGAGAGATGCCTCGCTCACAAAGCCGCAACGTGTTTCGGGCAGGTATCGCTAGCCGACGTCCATTATCGGACAGCTAGCTGCGCGGAGTCGCGGATCCAGTTGGTACGCGTGCTGCCTGCCTGTGCGTGAGCACGTTTTACGTTATTAGAAAAAAAACACACACACAACGAAAACCAAATACGAAACCAGGAATTATACGATAGATTTACAATGTGGCGGTTGAATTGTTTTGGGGTTTGTTTTTTTTAAACATGCTTCACTGGTTGTGTTTAGCTCGCTGTCTAGCCTGCTAGCTTACAGCTCTCCGTTGTCTGCGGGGGGGGCGGGAGGGGAGGAGGGGACCACCGAGGTTGAAGTGTCGCTTAGCCGCGGCTAGCTCGCAAAACGCCGCAGCAACCGTCAGCTCGGGCAAGTAACGCAAACTGGTCATAGAAGGAGGCGAAAAAACACACACACACTCGCACGGAAACACGTTGAGACAAAGAAACGTCTTCTAGCGGCTGAAGCAGGGGTCAAAACACTACCGGGTAACCGGGCTACGGGACGGGGGTTAAAATTAAGCCGTTTCCTGATAATAACTTGCAATCTTTTCAACTCCGCTCCCCCCAAAACCCGCCGGCCCCGAATCTCAGACTCACCCTGTCACAACAGGCGCCATCTTCCACAAACTCTCACCAAAACTCCAATACTCGCGATATCCTTTCTCTCCCACAGCCCAACAGTCCGCCGAGACAACAGAAGCAGACTGGAGGTGCGGGGACCAGGGAGACGGAGAGAAAGGGGGTGGGTGAGGAAGACAGAGAGAGGAAAGGGGGAGGCGGCGGGTGGCAGCGACAGAGCGAGCGAGAGAGAGAGAGAGAGACGGGGGGGGGGTGAGCGAAAAGGGCAGACGCCACAACAACAGGCGTGGGAAACTTCGCAAATCTCGCGATGTTTGGAAAACTCTCACAATAGGGGAGCACAGAGGGAGCGTCCCCTCTCGCGAGATGTACGCGGAGTGGGGAAGTTGTTTATCTTGTGGCGCTGAAATACTATTCCCACGTGTTTACCACATGATAAACTACACCACCGAATGGTTGGTTGGGGGGGGGGGGCGCGAGTGGCGAGAAAACCTCTCGGTTTTTTTCCAGGCTCGGGGAAGACTTTGCAGGGTGCATGCATCCTGTCTCCTGGGGGGGTCTCTGCAGCATTCAGCATTGACAGCTGCATGTAATTACAGGCCAAATACCATTTTCATTCTATAATACTTCCCAGTGGTACGGACGACAAGCACGGGAGGTGAGGAGACCTGCAAGGACACGCCGTCTCTAGATAACAGGGGGAAATTAAAGGGTTTCTGCGCACCAAATTCACTACTCCCATGGGTAACATTGCAGTTCCTGTTTGGAGTTTGGAAAACAATGGTGTGAACACATGTGAATGGGCCATACAGGGCAGATTAGTGCATTGCCATCACATTGGGGAGCCCCATGACCAACCTCCTTGCAGCCAAAGTACAAGGGAGGCTATTATCGAGAATGATCACGCTTGGAAATGTGGCACGGACTTTGTTAGCCCTTCTGTTTGCCTCGGCTTCTCCCCCAGCTCACGTTTATTTGTTTGCTTCATATCACCACCACCACCACCACAGGCGGGTCAGGTCATTCTTGTTTATTGGGGAGGGGTCAGAAAGCCGTAAACCTTCATGTAGGTCTGTCTTGTTGTCTCCGCTTCAGCCTTCATTTAAATCTGTTTGGCATCTTTGTTCACCTTACGACTGACTTCTTGTGGGTGTTTTTTTCCGACTTCAAAGAAAAAGTGCATTCTTCTGAGACCACACTGATGGCAAGTCAATGCTGTTGTTTGTTAGATGTTGTGTGTGCGTGTGTGATCCGCCTGCTTGCTCTTTTGTATGGAAAGAGTGGCTGCCGGCTAAATTAAGAAATACGGCAAACTGATATATAACACAAATATTTGGGAGAGTTGCACACAGTTCAAATGCTTTAACTGAATAAGACTACAGGCTTGTTTAAAGGGGGAAAAAAAGTTTTTTAACTCGTTAAAGTGTTTGACTGAAAACGGCTCTTTTTACACTTTTGTTTTGAAGCTTTTATAGAAACGTGTAAATAACACAGTAATTAGTCATCTTTAAACGTGTTGGTCATCTTTGTGGGAAGCCATGCTAGCCTTTTCCCTCAGTTTACAGTCTTTGTGCTAAGCTAACCAGCTTTATTTAATTCGCCGTACAGACATAAAAGTGAATGACTCTGCAGGACAAATTCTAAGCATACTTTGCAAAATATCCAGCTGCTTCTTAGTTTAAATAAATCAAGAACTGAATCAAGCTTTTAAAAATGCACAAAAATAATATTTTGGCCTACCTATCCGCACACCTGCCGACACTTTCTGTGCATTATAGCAGAGTCGATCTGCTCCAGTGTACGCTGTGCACATGTCATATATTTCAGATGCATAATTTGTTTTTGTGGAGCTTCACTGTCCTGCAGAAAGAAGGAAGGAGAGAGGAGGGGGGGTGGGGGGGGGGGGTTGCGAGGATGAGGTTTTGCATGAGAGTGTGCCTGGCCCGCGGCCGCACCATGAAGACACAGAGACGAGGACCTCATCCTGCCCTCAACCATTTTTCCTTTCCCTCTACTTTTTTTTATTATTTTTTTTTATAGTTGGTGGAGAACATCCAGTTACACTCAGTTGAAAGGGGAAGCATGAAGTTTCCTCAAATGTTTTACAGCTGAACACAGTAAAAAAAAAAAAGGCTACACAAGTGCAAGCACTTTTCTAAGAAAATGGACGCAAAATAGAAAAGGAGAAGAGGCCTGTTTCTTGGTGGATATGTTAACTTTTGTATTCAGGATATGACATTTGACCCTTTGGGTCAAACAACATGCTTTAAAGACCCCTCAAACATAAGGAGGTTTTCCTTGAGGCCCTCTTTGCCAATTGGGTTTCTCTTGCATCTGGAAACATGATTCTCCCGAAGCGTCTTTGGGAAAGTGTTCGTTGGCAGTACAAAAAGCACCGATCCTTCAGCACAGCCCTTTATTTAAATCGACGAGCATGCAGTGAGCTCCTACAGCTGTCTCAATCTTCGTTCTCTCATTAGGGGTAAAAAAAATAAATTAAAAAAACATTTATTTTAATTGAGAGCCAGCCAATTCAAGCAATCGCGACTAAGCCGTAAGCCCCGGGTCCATAAATCCACCCACTTGACCGCTTAAGCTCGTGGATCAGAAGGGAAGGGAGATTGAGATGAACCAATTCTTGTCCCCCGTGTGGAAACGGCACTCACCAGCGGGTCACCCCCCCTTCTGTCTTATCTCTGATTTGGCCTATACAGTCCATTTGTCAAACGCATTGTTTGTCGTCCAACAAGAGGTCGAAGGGTCACAAAGTGAAGAAACTATGTGACTGCGCCGATTGGCAGCAGAGCCTCATCATTCCTTTGGTCCTTTCGTTTTTTCCCAGTGGCACTTATCTTAAACTAAATGAAAGGAGGAATTATTTTCATCCGCAGATTTAAGGAGTGAAAACACAGCGAGCCAATTAGGGAAGTTCAACTCGGGTCTCCCTGATTAGCGTCTGTTTGACTCAAAATGTCATTTGTTAGGGCCGGAAACTTCCTGCAAAGAGCAGGCGGTGAGAGCGAGGACCGGGGCCAGACGGAGAAAAGGTGGGAGGGTGGTCAGAGACCATAACTGCATCCAGCGAAAAGGGCCACAAAGGGGAAATCGGCGTTGGACACCGACGCAAGCAGACAAGCTCTTCAAAGCGAGAGCGACGACCTCGATGACATCACCACGGAGAACATGCCGAGATTAATCATTCAGGTCCGTCTCGCGTGAGTCTGGGTTCGCCGCAGAGGGAAGGGCGTCCCCTGTGTGTGTGCGTCCATCCGTCCGCTCCGTCCATCTGTCTCGCTCTGCGGCAAATCAAATTTTTTTTTAAAAACACCAAAGGCTGGACGAGGGCAGACAGCTTTGAGGAGGGGGCACGGCCTCCTGCTCATGAACGAAACATGTTTTCTTTTTTCCTCAGGCGACTCCCAAAGAAGCCACAGGGCTTGAAAAGGAAAAAACGACAAGGTGATAAGTAAGTTTGCACACAGTCAGCGCCTGGTTTTTTTTTTTTATCCGCGAGCTCTTTTGAGAAGGTCGCCAGGAAATAGACGTTTCCCTTTTCTTTCTTTTTTTTTTTTTCCTTCCTGGACACGCGCGGGTTCACGGCGAGTTCAAGCTGCTCAAACGCACGCGGGGTTCGAGGACCGGCAGCCGCGGTAACCAGCAGACGACCGTGGGATGGAATTGGAATCAGATTGTAGACCATCACAACGGGACGGGTTGATCAGAGCGGATTTCACACGTGTTGTCACCGGAGGAAAAGCCTTTTAAAAAATAAAGAAATCAAGTTTTTTTTTTTAAGAGTGAGGGTCTGGACTCGCTTGGCTCGGTTTCTTGTCGTCATCTTTTTATAATCAGCCCTCGGGGCGGCCGATCACGAGCTCTGGAAATATGCTGGATGCATTATGTTATGGGAAGTATAAAAGCAGCTTTTACTCGCGCTCGCAAACTGTCCCTTGAAAGACGGGACATTTTTTGGGGGGGGGAATCGAAGTATGTGAGTTTCCGGGGGCGTCCGACTATATACTTTGACTTGCTGTGTATGAAACACATTGTGTCGAAACGTCTCACCGGAAGATAATAACATCTAAAGGGTTCTGCAGAAGAAGAAGGAGGAGCGAGAGCCCTCGAACCTCAAACACAAGTAACTTTGTTTGTTGTCAGGATGTGGTTGAAACATCATCCCAGAGCCTAAAGATTTCGGTACTGCGGTGGGTTTGGGTGCAGGAGGGGGGGGGCAGTGTTTTCAGAGAGGCTACATCCAAGAGGGAATAGGCGAAAGAGAGCAAAAGCTCCTCCAAAATCCAAAAAACCCTTGAGAGAGCAATCAGGAACGGGGTCAAAATGTCATAACAATGGACGCTTCCAACACAAGTAAAGCGCGTCCACTTTGTGAAACCCCCCCCCCCTGGGACGCTCACATCCAGTAAACTAAGAGCATAACTCGTTTAGCTTGGCCCCCCGCCCTGGTCAGCTCCGACTCGCTGAAGGCTCCCAGCAGAAGCCGAGCGCTGGTGTTGCATCGCGGAGCGTTAAACTCCTGCGACTTTGCGCTCACGGTTTGTAAAATAAAAAAACCTGACTTGTAACCCGCGGAGCGTCGTAATAAATAAGTCCGCTTTAGTTCTGCTGTGGAGATCGTTTGGGAGATACAGAAGTGTTTGGACGAGCGGTTTCACTTTGTTGCATACATAGCTGTGGGGGAGCCACGCCCAAGTGAACCTCTGAAGCCTTGACTTTTGCCCCCCCCCCGCCCCCACACACACAGACACATGAGCACAAACACTTTTCAGTGTTTGGCCACAAAAAACAAGCAAGAATTCCCTATGACAAACACACACACACACACACACACACACACACAAAGGGGAAGAGGTGACACAGTGCAAGACACACATGCTCGCCCACACACACACTTTTTTGCCGGGTGACTGCGGCGCTCAGGCCGTGACCCCCCGTGCACCCGCCTCCATCTCCCAGGCTGTCTTTCTGGAGGCCGATAGAGGCACGGGGGGGGGGGGTATGGGGTTGGCGGGGGCAGGAAGAGGACCGCTGATTAGGATGGAGGGGGTGAGGGGCGCGGGGAGAGGTTTGGAAATACCCCTGACCCTCTTATCCATTCTTGGCAGCCACCAGGAGAGAGAGAGAGAGAGAGAGAGAGAGAGAGAGAGGGAGAGAGAGGCTCTGCAAATATTTGTGATGGATCCA